ATGACTAACAACAGAAAACTTATCAAAACTCTAGGAACAGTAACTAAGAGGGGTACAGTTTACTGTATGCAAGTTACCCCTCCACAAATGGCAAATAAGTTGTAGGAAGTACATTACCTATTAGAGTAAAAAATTCTGCATGTCTTTCAAAACAAATCATATAGAAGATTTCCTTTTGTAAGTTGAAATGCTAGAAAATACTAATATATAAACAAGTACATTAAAGCACATTAAATAATGTGAGAAATAAAGTAAAATACTTGATTTTAAGAAACATTAGCTAATCTTGAGATAAAAGGTCATGTAAAGGGGGCCAGCAGGTGGCGTGGTGGCTAAGGGCGCTGGACTCCCACATGGCCGACCATGGTTCGAGTCCCAGACCTGGCGGCTTGCTTTCTCACTTTCTTTCTCTGTCTCTCTCTGGTCAAATTAAAACTTAATAAATAGATAAAGCTAAATAATTCTTTAAAAAAAAAAAAGTCATGTAAAAATTGATCAAAAGCTAGCTCCATAGCTCAGCAGTTAAGGGAGCTGGATCCCACACGGCTGACCACAGTTTGAATCCCAGCCTGGCAGCTTGAAAAGCAAGCCAGGCATATGTGCATGCATGCCCAAAATCCTGACGGGATGAAGAGATGGAGGAGAAGGTACTGCAGCGTGACTATGCCCCATTGGGGGTTCTCTCTCTCACTCTCACTCTTTCTCTAGAGAGTGCACATGCCCTCTGCAATAAAAATTAAAAAAAAAAAAAAAAGTTTTAAAAAATTAGATGGTGTAGGGACCAGCAGTTACCATAATGGCTATGTTGCTGGACTCCCATGTAGTCCACCGCGGTTCACATCCCGGACCCAGTGGCTTAAAACTCATACTGGGCATGTGTGTGTGCAAGCCCAAGATCCTGAGAGGAGAATGGAGGAGAAGGGATTGCGGCGTGGCCATCCCCACTCGGGGGAGAATCCTGTATGCAGAGGCTTAAAACTCATGCTAGGGGAACCAGCAGTTGGCTATGTCGCTGGACTCGAATCCCGGACCTGGTGGCTTAAACTCCTGCCGGGCGCGTGTGCATGCATGCCCAAGATCCCTAGAGGAGAGGGGAAGAGAAGGGACCACACCATGATCATCTCCCCTCGGGGGTGATTTCTCACTTTCTGTTCTCTCTGTCTCTGTCTTTTTGGCAAGTGCACAAACCCTATAGCAAAAACCTCTCCAAAACAATGCAAACTCACGCCAGGAGCATGTGTATGTGTGCCAAAGATCCCAAGAGGAGATTGGAGGAGAAGGGTCTGCAGCGTGGCCATCCTCCCTGGGTGGTAATTTCTCGTTTTTATTAAATAAAAACAGTTGAACACTTAAAGCTTTGTATTCTGCATATACATTTTGATGAGGGTCCTAAAGCTCAAGAAAGATAAAGGGGTTTTGTTTTTCCTAGCAGATCTACAAACCCTGTTTAAGAACTGAGACCTTCCTTCTCCCTCCCAGGAAACCTTACCCTCTCAGCCGAGAATATCAATATGCTACATTCACTAAGCCTGACTTCTAGAGGAGGAATCTGAGGCAGGGAATAGAGAAAAAAAGGATGGCCCAGGACCTAAGTCTGGGCACAGGCTTACCCAACACACCTCTCAGATTTGGAAGCTTCACAAGCCTGCAGCAGCCCCGCCTGCACGCAGGGGATGGCCACCCCACAATCCCTTCTCCTCCATTCTCTTCTCAGGATTTTGGGCATGCACGCACTCACTGCCAGCGAGGGCCCCAGAGAGCTTTACCCTACACAAGAAAGGAAAGCTCCTTTCTCAGTGAAACAATTTAAGGGCCAAGAGACCTTGCAGATCCTCTAAGCATCTCCAACGCGCCAGAGGCCAGGACCACCCTGGACCCTGGACCACTCCTGGCCCCATCTACTCCCATGTGCTCCTGGTCTGCTGTATCAGCTATCCCCTCGCCACTCTGGACTTACCCCACCCAATTTACCATCTTTCCTCACCTGAAAAACCAAACAAAAAACTTCCTACACACTCCCTCCTTCATTTGGGGTCACCAATGTTTTTGAAAGTAGTTCTAATGTCTCATCACCCCTTTGGTATTATCTCAATTACCAAAGTATTAATTCAAACAATACAAATAAATGACCATCTTCAATCCTAATCTCCTCCCCTGAGAGAATCACTGTTATCCCTAAAAATAAATAAATAAATAAAAACACACACCCACACTTGAACATTTATTTATTTACTTATTTTAGGTTTTTGCCATAGGATGCGTGTACTCACCGAAGATGGAGTGAGGTAAAGTGAGAAATCACCCCACAGTGGGGAGGGCCACACTGCAATCCCTTGTCCCCCAGACTCCTCTGATAATTTCAGGCAGAAACATATGTGCCTGGTGTGATTTTCAAGCATCTGGGTCCAGGACTTGAACCATGGTTGGCAATGTGGGAATCCAACATCTTAACTACTATGCCACCTGTGGCCCCTACCCTGAACCTATTTTTAGACTAAATATCAGATTGAACAATTTAACTTCTTGTCACTTTCCCTCTTCGAATTGTTATTTTTAAAAATTCTGAAAAAGTTCTGTTTAGCTAGATTCCAATTTTTTGGTGACATAAGTTATAGACCAAAGGATAAAGACTAGCAATTAGGATAAAATGAACAGATGCTCCTATATAAATCAAGTACCAAACCAATGTTGAAACAATGCTGATTTTATGGCAGTACAATACAGTTAAGAATAATGAGATTTGTAACTATGCCTTATATGTAAAATCTTCACTTCTCATTACCTAAATGCAGATGAGTACTGATCATATTTGCATCATCTTAATTTACAATAATGCCTTCAGAGTGTAAGAAACATTTTTTTTTTTGGAGAGTTTTTTTTTTTTTTTTTCGCTATAGGGCACGTGCGCTTGCCAGACAGACAGAGAGAGACGTAGAGACAGAAAGCGAGAAATCACCCCCCAGAGGGGATGGTCACACCACAATCTCTTCTCCTCCATTCTCCTCTCGGGGATCTTGGGCACGCATGCACACACGCTCGGCGTGAGTTTTAAGCCACCAGGTCCGGGACTTGAACCGCAGTCAACTATGTGGGAGTCCAGCAACATAGCCATTACGTTAACTGCTGGTTCCCAAGAAACATTTTCATATACATTATTTCTTCAAAATTTCACAACCTTATGTGATTACTTTTTTAAAAGAATTATTTTATTTAACTTTATTTATTATTATTATTTTCCAGTATGATCAGAGAGAAACAGAGAGAGAGAAAGTGAGAAAGCAAGTCACCACATCTAGCACTTGAACCATGGTCGGCCATGAGGGAGTCCAGCACCTTTAACTACGATGCCACATGCCAGCCCTTGCCCCCATTATAGGAACTATAATTAACATTTTTTAGGTAACAAAGACAAAGTTCTCAGAAAAAAAATCACTTGCTCAAAACCGCACAGTGAAAAGGATACATCATACATAAAAACTATGAGATGAAACTTTTATTTCCTGACTCAAATAAAGTCCCAATCCTTTATATTATGTCAAACAGTACATCAAAAATTTGGTAATATAAAAAATATTTTCTTGGCTATTTTTAGAACTAATAAAAAAAACTATCACTATCTCTACTTTTTTTTTTTTTAAGAGATGTTTGCTATAGTACACATGCCAGAGAAAGAGACAAAGACACAGAAAGCAAGAAATCACCCTCTGGGGGGATGGCCACCCCACAATCCCTTCTCCTCCATTCTCTTTTCAGGATCTTGGGCATGCACGCCTACACACCTGGCATGAATTTTAAGCTGCTAGGTCCGGGACTCAAACCGCAGTCGACTACATGGGATTCCAGCAACATAATCATTACACCATCTGCTGGTCCCAAAACTATCTCTACTTTCAAAGTTGAAAATATAAAAATGGGTAAATATTTCTGCTTCCTTCATATATGGAGTGGTCAGGGAAGTCTTGATGCATTTTTGCATAGAAAAACTGAAAACTACATCATGACCTTCCCGACAATACAATAAAATCCCTTAGGAAGTTCTTATTTTACTTAAAAACAAAAAAAATTTTTTAAAAAATTAAAAATGTATCGAGACTTACATCAATATGTAGCTGCATTACAAAACTAGAAAAATACCTTCTTTAATCCTTTAATTAGACACTGCCAGTAACAAAATATCTAACACCTCCCAATCTAAGAACCATGCAACTGCAGCTGAAAAGGACTGCACATGCATATACACATGCGATCTTAGTGGCATCCTCGAGATCCTGGCCGGGGAACACATGGACACTCAATTCTCACCACTGAAATTTTGAATTAAATTATTTATTGAACAATGAAAGCTTAATGAACCTACTCGTATGAATAAAGCATTTAATTCATTAATTCAAGTAAATTAATTTTACTAAAACTCTGTGTCCCCCATTTTTTCCTACACTAACAGAGCTCCTAGGAGTCCAACACATTTCGATGCTGTCTTTATTACCGTGTACTAGACTGGATCATGAAAAAAATAAACTGAACTTAAACTAATTCTCATTAAGGGCTCTGGATCTGAGCTAACTCAATTCTACATATAACAATACAGGAAAAACTTTAAACTATAATTACACTATTCTTTGTTTTATTTTTATTTATTTTATTTATTTTCATTTGACCAGAGAGGGATAAAGTGAGAGAGAAAGAAAGTGAGAAACCAAGCCACCAGGTCCAGGACTCGAACTGTGGTCAGCCATGTGGAAATCCAGGACCCTTAACCTTAACCTTGCCACCTGCCAGCCCCAAATTAAGCTATTCTTTGTAACATATTCTGACATTACAAAAATACAGACAAGATTAACTGACTTTTTTCACATTTTACTCTTCCTAAATGTGGAAGATATACCTTCCTCAACACATCTTTATCGAAGACCAAGAAACTGTATCAAGATAGTACTCAAATTAGTCTGAACAGGATTGCAAAACTGTTTTACTAAGAAATATTAGAATATTTCTCTTACCTCTGTTTCTGTACACTGTGAATATCCCATTTTACCTGTAATAAAAACAAGAAAAAGTCATTTTCAAAGTATTTTGAGTTTCTTACATCAATGATAAATATAGCTACTCTGGTCATACTTTATTATATCTATGAAAATATCTATGCAAATAAAAGATATTATAATTACCAAGTATTCTAGAAGGTCCTGTTGAGGAATTTAAATTTAAATAGGCTCTTAAGAAAATAATACAGGGGGACCAGCAGATGGCATAATAGTTACGTTGCTAGACTCCCATGTAGTCAACTGCAGTTCAAATTCTGGACCCGGTGGCTTGAAACACAACAGGCACATGTGCGTGTGTGCCCCAAACCCCAAGATCTACCCGGGGTGGGGGGGGTGATCTCTTGCCTTCTGTCTCTCTGTCTGTCTCTGGTAAGTGCACATGACCTATACCAAAAATCTCTTAAAAAAAAAAAAGAGTGTAGGAAAAGATGGAAAGAATATGCTTTACTGTAATAATATCTGAAATATGTATATATTAAATGTACATATATATATAAATTAATCAAAGGAAAACAAAAGTACTTTTAAAGTCTTGCTTTCTTTTTATTTATTTAGTTTTTTAGAGAGAGATTTTTACTATAAGGCACATATGCTTGCCAGAGAGACAGAAAGTGAGAAATCACCTCCCAGGGGATGGCCACGCCACAATCTCTTCTCCATTCTCCTCTTGGGATTTTGGGCATGTACACGCAGCATGATTTTCAACCCGCCAGGTCCAGGACTCAAACAGCAGTCAACTATGTAGGAGTCCAGCAATGTAATCATTATGCCATCTGCTGGTCCTATTGCTTCCTTTTTAAATACCTTAAAATACTTTAAAGGCATTTGAATTGTGCCTTTAAAAAAAAACCTCTAAAAGGTCATTGGACTTTTACCAAAATATATTTCCAGTTTTTTTTTTTTTTTGAGAGATTTTCATCGTAGGGCGCGTGCGCTCACCAGACAGACAGAGAGAGAGAGGCATACGGACAGAAAGCGAGAAATCAGCCCCCAGGGGAGATGGTCACGCCACAATCCCTTCTCCTCCATTCTCCTCTCGGGATCTTGGGCACGCACGCACACGCGCCCGGCGTGAGTTTTAAGCCACCAGGTCTGGGACACGAACCGCGGTCGACTATGTGGGAGTCCAGCGACATAGCCATTACGCTAACTGCTGGTTCCCCCAAAATATATTTCCAGTTTAAAGATACAATAATCAATGAAAGCAGAAATGTTTCTTTAATGATTAAACTATAAAAGTTCTTTCATTGGGACCAGCAGTTAGCATAATGGCTATGTAGCTGGACTCCCACGTAGTCGACCACAGTTCACGTCCCGGACCCGGTGGCTTAAAACTCACGCCGGGCGCGTGTGCGTGCGTGCCCAAGATCCCGAGAGGAGAATGGAGGAGAAGGGATTGCGGCATGGCCATCCCCCCTGGGGGGTGCTTTCTCGCTTTCTGTCTTTCTGGTGAGCGCATGCGCCCTATAGCAAAAAACCTCTCCAAAAAAAAAAAATAGGAAAAATCTTTCACAAAGGATCTTCTAGAGAATAATTAGAACTGAATGAAATATAGCTACCGAAACATTCATATTTTCGCTTCAGCACTGAGACGTAACACCAAGGAGCATCGATACACATATTTCCATCAATTTAGATATAACTAAAACGTACTTTCTAAATAAAGACAGCTATTTTAAAGGAGAATCATGGGAGAGTTTTAACAAAAGAATAGATAACATATTTATGCTGGGTACTAGAAGATTTAATTTCCCCAATCAATACCTCTTAAAATTTTTGGCCAAAGTTCAAATGTTCATTTACCTTTGAATCTTTTAATGCAATCAATACTATCCTCCCACTTAACCTCTTCCTTTCTCTACCCTACTACTCCTCACCCATCTCACAGCAATTGTTCTATCAACCTTGTTTTTATTATTTTCCATTTATGAGCAAGAATGAGGGAGAAACAGTGTGGGAGGGAGAGACCAAGATATCTTTGACAGGGCCTTCCCAAGTCATTGTCTTCCTGCCCAAGCTTGCCCGTTAGCTAGGATTACACCAGGCATGTGCAGGTTGGCCCAGGAATCAAAACTGGGCCTCCCATGCAGCCCAGCCTTTCTAGCAGTGGTACAACCTGTGAAGCACCAAGGCTGAGATGTGATGTTCTTCTCAATGCTTAACTACAATTCATAGACCCTAGAGGCTATGAAGACACCAACTAAGAGAAAAAAATAATGGGTTTTGTATGCCTCTCAAATCATAAAATGAAAAATAAAGTTAAAACCCACAGTTTCTCATCACTTAATGATCTTAATGTGAAAAGCCAGCAGAAATTCAGACCAGAAAACAAGAGATCTGTGAAGTGAGATCAAAACAACTCAGGGTCTGTGTATTTAATAGTATATATAAGCAATAAATAAACACTACATAAACATACATCCAAAATTAGCTTAATACATAAGGATTTGATGTCACAGGATTTGATAAATACATCAGTGTTATTTATGAATAAAAGTACATATTATATAGATAGATACTACATATTCTATTTATTTATACATACATGATTGCTTGTTTATAACATTAATGCTTTTGGTAGATTAATCATACTTAACTACCAGAGAAGTGGTGATCATTTTAACTGAGGAAAAGTACTGCTGGGTAGGAACAGCTCAAAGAAAGGCACAAACTGCCTCTCCAGAAACATTTACTGAGTACCTATTCTATATAGGAGAGGAGAAAAGGAGGGCTACTAACTGGGTAACCTCTTTCAGAGTACTGTAGTTTAGGGTCAGCAGGCAGCTTGGAGGTTAAGGTGCTGGATCCCACATAGCCAACAGTGTGGTTCAAGTCCCAGAACCAGTGGCTTAAAAATCATGCGGGGTGTGTGCGTGCATGCTCAAGATTCCAAGAGAAGAATGGAGGAGAGGGGGTTGCAGCATGGCCATCTCCCATGAGGGGGAATTTCCCTGCCCCTTTCACTCTCTAGCAAGTGTACATGCTGTATAGGAAAACTAAAAATAAATAAATAAAAGCACATAAATTTGTATCTTCAGTAGGATATTAATTTTTTTTCTTAAGTTTACTTATTTCTTCTAGGAGAGACAAAGGGAGAAATGGGGGCATTCCCACCAGGGTCCTCTTGCCACAACCCATTCACATACTCGGCCAGCCTTGATCATGGAAGCACACACCCAATGTGCACAGGGAGGTTCTAGGACACAAACACAGGACCTCCCAACATGGATCCAGCTCTGCAGAGCACTGCATTACCAACACACTTCTGTCTGGCCCATTCCAAAGGCTATATTAATTCATTCAGTTATTAATTTATTTATTTTCATTTGCCACAGGGCACATGCACTCACTGGAGAGAGACAGAAACAGAGGGAAAGCAAGAAAAGCAACATCCTAAGGCACAACCAAGCCATAATCCCTTCTCCTCCATTTCTCTCTCCTCCCAGGATTTTGGGTATGCATATACATGTGCCCAGTATATCTTTCAAGCTGCCAGGTCCAGGACTTGAACTCCATGGTTGGCTTTGTAAAATCTAGCCCCCTCAACTTGGACCACAGGCTGGCCCAGGATATATTTTTAAACTAAAGACAACTGCAGTGAAATCTAGAACTTTAAATAGTAGGTTGCTTTTGGTAGTATAGTATAGGTGATAACTGTGAAATAATTTTGCATGTAGTATAACACTGAACAAATGAATAAAGACACTTTATATTGGTAGAAGTTGGTAATTTCCACTGTCAGAAAAAACTGGAAACAGAGGTATTACACAATTTCAAAAAATTACACATTTCCTGGGACCAGCAGATGGCATAATGGTTACATCACTGGACTCCCACATGGCCATCTGTAGTTCGAGTCCCAGATCCAGAGGCTTCAAACTCATACTGGGTGCATGTGTATGCATGCCCAAGATCCCAAGAGGAGAAAAAAGAAGGCATTGCTGTGGGGATGGCCATGCAGCCATCCCCTGGGGAATGATTTCTTGCTTTATGTCTGTCTGTCTGTCTGTCTGTCTGTGTCTCTCTCTCCAGTGAGCATATGCACCCGACAGCGAAAATTTCTCTAAAAAACAAAAACAAAAACAAAAACATTTCCTAGTTCAGCCCACCCATAGCAGAAGGCTCTGTTTTGCAAAGGCACAAAGGGACACTTTAGCCCTTTCCCCCTCTAAACAGGATTCCTTAGAAACTGATCAACTCCAGGACTGGGACAAGGAAATTACAAAATAAGCCTGGAACATCTTTTTTGCATCAAAATACAATGAAGTGGGCTGGCTCTGCGGTGTGGCAGTTAAGAAAGCCAGATCCCATATGGAAGGTTGTGCAGTTCAAATCCCAGCCTGAAAGGCATGAGAAACACACCAGGTGGTGTGTGTCTGCATGTTCCATCCTGATAGGATGGACAGATGAAGGAGAAGGAATTACAGCATGACCATGCCCCATTTGGGGGTACTTTCTCCCTCTGGCATATTAAAAAAAGAAAGAAAGAGGGACTAGAAGTTGGCGTAATGGCTATGGCTATGTCACTGAACTCCCATGTAGTCGACCATGGTTCACGTCCCAGACCCGGTGGCTTAAAAAACTCAAGCCGGGCGCGTGTGCATGTGTGCCCAAGATCCTGAGAGGAGAATGGAGGAGAAGGGATTGCAGCGTGGCCATTCTCCCTGGGGGGGGGGGATTTCTCACTTTCTATCTCTCTGTCTCTCTCTGCCTGTCTGGCGAGCGCACGTGCCCTATAGCAAAAAACCTCTCCAAAAAAAAAAAAAAAATGAAATTAAGAAAGAAAGAGAGAGAGAGGGAGGGACCGGCAGATGACTTTCTGTTGTTGGACTCCCAAGTAGTTGATCATGGTTCAAGTCCTGGACCCAGTGGTTTAAAATTCACAGTGGGCATATGTGCATGCATGCTCAAAATCCCAAATGGGGAATGGAGGAGAAGGGATTGTGGCATGGCCATCCTCCCTGGGGGGTGATTTCTTGCTTTCT